GCAAAATGAAAGAGATACGAACGATTATATACGGAGTAACGCTCGTATCGGATTCCCGCGTTTGCTTTGCCGTATTTGTTAAGTGCGCGCGCGCGCGCGCGCACTTTTTCGACTTACTCGAAACTTACCTCGTGTCCCCGAGGAGATCCGCCAGGATTCGTCCCTTCCTCGCGCGGAATCGGCGCGGCGTCGCGTCGAAAACGTGCCGGCGCGGTGACGAGTAATTCCAGGCTCCGCTCGGCTTCACTCACTTAATATCCAGCAGTTGGACCCTTCGGCTATTACACGCGACCCGTCGAGCGGATCCGCGGCCCCCACGTCAGTTGTGCGCGCGATACTCCCGAATACGCGCGCGACGCCCCGCAGCGATTTACATTTATTGTCGCGCGCCGCCCGCGGCCATTTCTCGCTGACCGCCGCCCTGTTTTACCGACCGCCGCCCGCCGCCCCCTCATCGATACGTCCGGGCACTCGCGACTCTGGGCATGAGCAAAAAGATTGTCGTAACCGTTTACGATTCTGTCGTAAGGGTATTACATTTGTCGTACGACAAAGTTGTTAAACGCGTTGATTGGCTACAAGCTAGAAAATTTCCTACAACAACTTTTCTAGCTCGCAGCCAATCAACACGCTTGAAAAATGTGTCGCACGACAAATGTAATGCCAGCGGCCTGAGCAGAAAGATTGTCGCAAGTGTTGACGATTCCGTGGTAAGATTTAAGTCGATGTCGGAAGTCAACGCACAAAGAATTGTCGTAGACGCATTCCTCATGTGCGACATACGTCTACGACAATTCTTTGTGCGTCGACTTCCGACATCGACTTAAATCTTACCACGGAATTGTCAACACTTACGACAATCTTTCTGCACAGGCTTACTTGAATAATTTGTCGCACGACAAATGTAATGCCAGCGGCCTGAGCAGAAAGATTGTCGTAAGTGTTGACGATTCCGTGGTAAGATTTAAGTCGATGTCGGAAGTCAACGCACAAAGAATTGTTGAAGTCGCATTCCTCATGTGCGACATACGTCTACGACAATTCCTTGTGCGTTGACTTCCAGCACCGACTTAAGTGTTACGGCAGAATCATAAACAGTTACGACAATCTTTCTGCTCACACCGTCTCTCGGTCACCCGTTACTCCTCGACCTGTTGTGCGCGTGCCGATTTCGCGCGGAATGTGCGGCCCGGAGGGATGAACGCGGTCTCGACAGAGGAGGCTGTTCATCGTAGTCGTTATTGTGGGCTCGCGAACAAGAGAGCCATTTCCCATCTCGGCGATCGTCTCTCCAGGCGAGTCTCTCAAATATAATTAGTGTCCGCCACGGACGCGCGAAAGTAGGTTAGGACGATGTTGCCGTTTGCGCGCGAGGGATTTATCGGGGGATATTTGGATGGCGGATTTTTTCTTGGTGAAAAAACACGGGCGAGCGTGCGATATGTATATTTTACTTTCTCTGTTTTTGTTCTTACTTTCGTGATACTCGATACGCGCTATATATATATATGGTATATATATCCTTTCTTCCTTTTTTATCCTTCTGCCCTTGTCTCCGCAAGGCGAATAAAATGAAAGTTTTCCCAGCGTTGAAATGTATTTTACGTTTAATTCGGAATGAGACGTGGAATATATAGTTTAATTCGGAATGAGACGTGGAATATATAGTGCGTGTACAACGCAATTAATGGATACGTTAAAAATTGCGAAGCTGCGAGAAGAAGGAAATGTAACTGGCAAGAGCGAGGAGGAGCATTAATCTTGCGGAACGATGAAATTTACGTTTAATTCAGAATGAGACGTGGAATGTATAGCGCGTGTACAACATAATTAGTGGATACGTTTAAATTTGTAAAGCTGCGAGAAGGAGGAAAGGTGGCTGGCAAGAGCGAGAGGGAGGGTTAATCTGAAACGCCGAGTTGTCCGTTCGGGCACGGGGGGTGTCAGCTGTGAGTGACGCCCCTCCCTTTACATCCCCCTGTTCCCGCAACCGTTTCCGCCGAACCCCGCGAATTACTTTGCGCTTCGGTATTATTAATGTACGATTTCGAATTGGCGCGCATTTACGTGTCCCTCTTTCACGAATATTTCCCCCTTTTGATTTACCTCGCTCCCCGGGCGGAGAGAAGCCTTTGTGACGGCTGAAAATCCTCAATTAAAATCCGCCGCGTTCTCTTGCTCTCATTCGCAAACTGGTGTTTCCAGAGAAACAGGAAATGGAGATTTGGCGAAATAAATATTCCCGCTATCTACGTTAAGAATTGTTAATTAATGTTAAATTCGCATTGCCGTATCCAGTCGAGGATCACCCTCGATCTGTTTCGCACGCGCCCTTATCGTCGCTCGAAAATGTACACGTGTTTCTCTTGTATTCTTTCAGGTAAGTGAAGCATCGAAACCTCCGCCGAGGATGCGCTTTGACGTCGCTGACGGCGGTGAGTAACCAGATTTGTCGAGATACTAACCCGAGAACGCGAAAGACAATTCTATCGCGTCCCATCGACGCGCGTTTGCATCAATCTTTTAGCAGGGCGCCTACGTGACAGCGACTATTTATCGTCGAAATGACATTAATCGTTCTCGTGCCGAAGAGTACGCCCGCGCGTTTTTCGCGAAATAAATATTTCAGCGAAACGTTTAACGTTGCGGGCGAAATTAATTCGCGAGGCTGGTGAAAAAAAAAATTCGGGAGAGAATGCACCGGCGCGCGCTCGCGCGAAGCGTCGTTTCGTTTCGCGCGTAGCCCGAAAAGGAGAAATGATTATTTTACTTCTGACAGAAATAAATAGATCGAGTATTTCATGCGCGGAACTTTAGTGACGTTGCGCATATTACGGTATTGCAAAGTTATTCCGCTCGCGAAACGCTGGAAGCGCGATTTACTGTTTTGTGGAAAGTACTTTTCCCCATTTGCGTCAAAGAGAGGGTTGGGGGAGAGCGCCTAAGAGAGAGAATGAGAGAGAGAGAAAGTGAGAGAGGAGGACAGCAACGTGTTAAAAAGCGAGTAGAACGAGGGAAATGCACTCAGAGCAGAGATGAGAAAAGTTTTGTTGACTTGGCTGAAATTTAATTTCGACTGGAATTTCGCGCAGAGTCCACCGACATTTTTATTAGTTCAAGATTCGCTCGCGGATCATTTTGCCGATTCATTGACCACCCCCGGACAAATTAACGATTTTATTCGGAGGTGAGCGTGCCGCTCTCGAACGTGTTCCCGCCGCGGCGTCCGTCGCGCGTTTCGGAGAGACGCATCGCGAAATATATTTAAGAATCCGGCGACCCGCTTCAGTTTTCTGCACTATGAGTTTCTCTCGACGTTGGTTTATATTCTAGACAAGATTTATGCAAGTCACAGATTATACCGTAAACCTTTATTTAACTGAAATTAATTCAAAGATTCCTTCTTTATTAATAGTTGCGGTTGTGGAATACGTCAAGGATAATTTTCAAGTAAAATTAGTATTATTGGAATTTGCTCTTTACAACGTGACATATCGTCGTATATTTTTTTAACTCTCTTAATGTAATTAGATATGCTGAAGAAGGCACTGTGTTGCCGAAACGCGTACGTGTAGAATTCATGCATTTCCAAAATGAAATTTTACATTTATTATCGAACACCGAAAAATCTTGCTTGTTTAATGCTATTTGGCCGTTCGATTAAAATCTTCTTATACCATACACAAGCGTTTAAGAACTTTTATTTATATTTAAGAATATTTTTACGCGCGGCCTCCCGCTCGCTAGTTTAAATTCACTTTTAATTGAATACGCACGCCCGTTTATTTTCGAAGAAGATCCTCAATCGGCGGAATTTTTATTTTCATTACGTGGAAAATGTCGCGCGTATACTTGATCGCGAAATCACGGTGACGGTTCATTTAACCCCTTTCATGCCCAACCGATATCGGTTTCGATGCAAACCAGTTTCCAGGACCAATTTCCGTTGTGATAACATCAACTGTATGTTATTTCTTTATGAATCAGTTGTTTCGAGCTTAATAGAGAGAGAAAGAGAGAGAGGGACGGACCACTTGCAACGTTCAGCGCGTTCGTACCTGGACGCGGTTTATTTACACGTTCCGCAAATAACAAACGCGTACATACAAACCGTTCTTTCTTCGCGTTATTTTATTTACACTCGCGAAAATAATGATTAATTTCTCGGAGGAGACTGAGAGAATTCGAAATTGCCGCGGTACAGGTGCAGATACGGAGGGGTTAATTATCCGCGGCGCGATGCTTCTTATCTGTGTGAAAGCCTTTAATGCCGCTTGATCGCTCTGCGCATTGTCCTCCACGGACCCGGGCGACGGCGGTGGCATTTGTGTGCCCCGCGGGACGCCGGGCACCACGCGGTGACGCGAAGGCGTTCCGTGCCGGCGAGACCGCGCTTCAACGTGATGACGATTAATTGATCGCGCCACGGAAGCGAAAAGCGAGGCAAGACGCGGGTCCCGTGAAACGCGAAACCACCCTTCGCGTTGTCGTCGAGTCGTCATCGCGGGTCCGCGGCGGTAAAGCCACGTTTTATGATCGCAGTTATGGTGCGAATTAGAACGCCTTGTCGTAAAATACACGTCCCCCCCGCCCCGTTCTCCAACGCGCGTGTTGCGTATTTACTCGGGTGATTTTTAAGAGTAATCGTAAGCTTCGGTAGCGCGCGCGTTGGCACCCGGATTGCCACCCCATTGCTATTTGGAAAGCATCGGTCGCGGGCGAAATCTATAAAAGGATCCTCCGGGGAGAGACTGATTCGCATTTCCCTCTGTGAATGAAGAGAGGACCGGCGAGCAAATAGATAATAAAACCTTATTTCTTACTTGATTCCAGGAGAAAAGTTAATTTACCTCGTTGGATTTTATTCCGTAGCTTAACCATGCCAGGACGTCTAATATTACAGTTTCACAAATCGCGAAAGAGAATGTCGCTGCACGCCGCGTTATTACCCTGGACGTAGAAGGCGGGTTTTCCAAACTGAATAATAAACGTCGTTTTCATAACTGTGTGGCCTTTTCGGGGCACGTTTCGTACACGATGTAGGGCAGGTCGAAGTTTTCAATCCCGACAAACTGCCGCGCAAAACGTATCGTCTCGGATTGAATTTCAGCCGCGGTCGGAGAATCTGATTCAGAACAGCTTCGACGCGACGATGGGACGGGTTGACGGGGTGGCAGCCGGGTGGTAGGTGGGCGGTAGGTGGAGGTTGTAAATGCCGTCGTATTTAGGGAACCGATCCCACGCTCAAGGCTGGGGCTCGGCTGGCAGGCAGGCAGGCTGGCTGGCTGGCTGGCAGGCAGGCAAGCAGAGCTCGCGTGTCTAGACCGGAAGTGGTTCTCGTGTTAGGCGTGGCTCCTTGATATACAACCCCTTGTATCTCACGCAGCAGCAGCTACCCGAGTGCCCCCGCGTCGGTATGCTTCCTCCGCCGCTGTGCACGTACGGGATGTCCAATAACCTTTGCCTAACCCCTTGAGGCGGAACGAAGTCGATCGATCTCGAGCGCCGGCCGACTCGGAAGTTATCCGGTGACCACTGATTTCTGTTCTCCCCACGGTAGGTAGGGGGGAAGGGCTGCTCTCGTTCTCCGTCTGCCATTCATTCTCCTCGAGAAATCTCGCGCCCCGCCCCCGCGGCGAGGTTTACCGCTGTAATTCAGCATCGATCCGAGATGAATCGCACTTTTTCGAAACACTCGCGGCATTACTAGGCGACCGTAATCGCTCCGGCGATCAATCCCAGGATGTTGAACGTTGAGAGTATTTCGAATCATCGCGCACCCCGAGTAACAGAGCCTACTCGTGCTGCCTGTAGGAAGGTACATGATCAAGAGTTTAGTAAGCAAATAATTTCGCTAATTATTACGTCATATAATATGTCATATATATATATATATATCGCGTAGCGTAATATTACCCAATTACCTGATGGCGCGATCTACTGTAATAACAACGTCCTTGTTCGTATTGACATAGTGATCAGCTGCAGCTGCGAACACCTAGGGCATTTATCGACCAAGCATAAATTGTCTGCATTTGATTTGTCCCATTATCGGGTTATTTCCTAAACTAACAATCGTGCCTTGCGTCGTCTAAGTATGTCGGCGCTATTTACCGGCGAAACATTTTCCCAACTTGATTCAGAATTTCATCCCCGCGAGACACAGAGTTTTTAATCTGTTAAATAGTTCTAGTCTTTAATTCTAATTGTTTGAGGGAAACGGTATTGTTACGTCCGGTTGTAATAAGACTTGTTATTCATCGTACCACTTGAGAAGTCACGGCGGATTCTAAATTAAATTGTTATTCGAAAGATACAAGTCCCCTTGAAATTGTTTGTTTGCATGTAATTGTACAAATGGAAAAAGGCGCGTCTACCGTAACGGATGCTGAGAGATAACGAGTCGAGTGCTGTTGAAAATCTTGTTGAGTTTATTAATTATAATTTTTTAATTGATTACAGATGAAAAAAAATTGATCATCAAAGCTAATTATGTCTCGGTAGCTTCATCAAGCTGATCTTTCCTCATTAGGTATTCCACATGACGCGTCCAATTAGCGAACGTAATTAACGTCTCTCCCTTTCGTATTCTAAACACCATAGCTTAGAGTAGCATTGTCTCGATTCGTGCAATGATTAGAGGCCAATCGAGATCGGGTATAGAAAGTTTTGTTAAAACTCCAAATGATCAAAGAACCATTTAACATGCGCTTCGAAATTCCTAAATTGGCTCGTACGTTTCTTAAATAATTTGGTATGTTGAACTTGAAATACAGCTTGGAATAATTTAGTAATTCGAAGCGATTCGAGTTTTCAGAATGAAATAATGAATTATTCCACAACTAAACATAATCGAATAACGTGATCGAGCCGCGAGCTCCGTCGAACGATAGAGAAATTGTTCTAACCGGAGAGAATGTCACATTGGTCGGTTGGTCACAGTATATCGTAATTTGATAATTAATGGTGCCTCCAGTTACTGTGCCAGTAACCCGTATCGATATGCATAATTTTGCGCTCGTACGCGCGTATTATTTGGACTAGAAGTAACTAATTTGTCGTATAATACAACTTGCAATACACCGTCGGTAGTATAATGCTATTAATGATCACATTTCAATACATTGATCGTCGTGTGCTTTTTAGTAATCCACGCAGCACGATCTACGGTTCGTCTGGTACTGGTATTCTATTTCAAACAAATAATATAAACAATAAAATTCGCAAGGCTCTCATGCGACGAACGCAAGTTCGATGGAGTAGAGGACTAAAGAGCCGTGATGGGATGTTAGTGTCCAAATCCTTTTTCCCAGGTTCGAACCCTGGCTAATATTTTACGCAATAAGATTCCTTTGATCTCGAAATACTCTGATGTTTTCTAAGTTTTTCAAAACGCTGACGCACAGGGATTTTGCTAAAGCGACTTAATTACGAGTTCCTAAGTTCGAAGGCGGGCGCGAAGAAATCAACGTTCGCGCGCGGACGGGTTGAAACTGAGGCCCCGGCGAAACCCGAGAGGAAGAGAGGCGCGTTTTGCAGCAGGATCGGGAGGTGTGTCCCGTGCAACTCTCATAATGCGTACGCGACAAGGGCTCTTCTAATTCCGGTAGCCGCAAGAAAACTGGGACAACGCCGACGGCGGTACCTATATCACCCCCCATCTACCATCGCGCCGGCTTCGCCTTCGCCACCGACACGGCGGGCGACATCACCGCGGACGAGATTACATTACTTAGAGGCCCCTACTTTGCGGTCTCGTGAAATGCACTCAAACTAATTTGCGCCCGAGAGCTCAGCGCCGTCCCCCCGTCTTCCCCTCTTTTTTCTTCGCCACTGCCTCGCGCGGTGGCTGCGGACGCAGATGAATCCTTTTGACGCGTTAATCCAACTTTGCTCTCGCGGCTTTGGGCTCGTTTTGAACGCGAGGGAGAGAGAGAGAGAGAGAAAGAGAGAGAGAGAGACCGTGCTTGTGAGTGGTTAACGAGGAAGAATTTAAATTGGTCATCGGGAATGTGTGTGGGCCGGCCGAATAAGCGCGCAGCTGAGAGACCTTGCACGGTCTTTCACGTTTTCATCTTTCCCCCCCATCTTCGCGTATCTTCCGCGTTCTTGAACGTTGTTGAGAGACAAGTAATTTTCCGTTACGCTTCAAAGTTTCCTAAGTTCGTTGATACACGTTGTACTGGGTTTACCTTCTTCAAGAGTCTCTTGAAATCGGACTGTTGTTTAAATCGCCCGTTCTTACGTCCTCATTACAGAACTTGTTACGTAATTGAATTTATTTGTATCCTGAAATTACTTCCGCGGATTGATAGCGATCCAATTCAAAGGGACGACACGCATCGGACGATTCTGCCCCGCGCGTCCACTCGCTGTTCCGTGTCGTTCGACGTGCACGAACCTCACTTCTCTGTTTATAAATCGCGCGCCTTTCTAATTATTTTTAATATTGAAATATAAAGTTGGAACTACATCCGAATTTAAAATATCTGCCAACTTTATCTGCATAAAAGCCATTAAGCGCGATTACACCGCATTAGCAAATATTCCGCGAGAAGGAAAATGGAAAGAGAGATTAATCGCTTCGCTATCACTCACCATTCCATCGGCGATATCTCCCGGCGCGTTAGGATTATCGAACTACAGTAAATGCGTTATCGCTTTCGTCGATGAGTATCAGATCGGAGTAGTGAGCGATCGTCCGCGATTTTATCCGGAAACTGAATCTCGGCTGCCCGACATTTTTTTTTTTTCGATAAAAGTACACGTACGCGCATCAATAATTAACCTTTATTAGCCCGTCGCGCTAATGAAATGTATATCAGGGTGGAATTTAATTAAAACAGATATTTAGGTCGAGTCTGTGTAACCAGCCGGCTGCCACTGACATCGTCGTTATCGCCGCTATCATCGCCGTAGACGGATTAGAATATTGGCACTTGCCCTCTTTCGTCCCTCTGTGTCTCGGAGGACGCCACTTAAATTCTTCAATTACCGTATCTTGGCGGCGAGACGCCACTTCGTGAAGGAAAAAAAATAGAAAGGAAATTTTTCGAACGCAGGAGAGCCGTTCAATAATGCTGTTTTGCATTATTGAACTTTCAATACCAACTTTCAATTGTTTCTCGATCCGAGTATAACTAATTCAGAGCTGTTATTCGCGAAAGCTGAATATATCGCAAATCGTGAAATTAGTTCTGTTTTCTCCTGTTATTAAAAACCTCTGTGAAGTTTATATATCACTTATAAAGCGGCAGTGGATACACGGGAATCATTATGCGCGAGAGGCATCGTTAATGTCCTTTCCTCTTTGTATAACAGAATTACTAAAAAAGGTATTCGACAACCGTGCGCGAAACCGGCGACAATAACACGGCGAAAGGTCTGCATTCGACGCCTGAAGTGCCGCAAATTTATACAATTAAGTCTAATAAACGTCGGAATAATTAGAAGCGTAATTGTTGTTGCGAGGAATAATTAAAAAATAATTGCACTTGTCTCCGACCAACGACGATGCGTATTGTTTCTTTTTTTTGCTGCACTCGCTACGCCGTTCCGCGTTTTATCTTTTTAATATCTCCTTCGTTCTCTCTTCTACCGTAATTCTATTTCAATTTCAAAATTATCTTTCGTTAGTTTATTCTCATATTCGAAATTGATCTAAGACGCCTGACAACGCGCGATAATGAATGATTAATCGGACTGTCCTGTACAAAGAATGTTTTTCGTATCTCACATGTTTTTTACGTACGAAATTACTCGTCGAACACATCGAGCTAATGTATCTTTATCGAAGTATCTTTTAAAAATGTATACGTGTGTGTTGGACTTTTATATTTTTTTATAAATTACGCGGAACATAAGACACACATATTTTAACAAAGTTATATTCACTACCTATTGTATATTATATTTCTACGATTCTGTTACGATTGTGGTACTATTATTTATCTCCATTACTACTCGAGATGTATGCAACGAATTCCACTTATCCAGCGCACGTGGCCTAGTCGATTTCTTATTCTTTACAATTAGCATTTTTTATCTTACATATTTCTCTGCATTCGAAACAATTTCGTCGTGAAATATAACAGGTTTTTGTTATCTCCGTCTCTCTTTACCCCGTTAATTTTTGCACTTTTAACTTACTTTCGGATTTGTCGATTTACTGTGTTTGCGCGGCATATATCACATGTCGCAATAGCAATTTGCTGCAACGAGTGCACACTGCGAGACTGTTCGCCGGGGCGAGCCCGTTGTAGTTTCCAGTACCGAGAGAACCGGCCACAAAAGGGGATTTAATGACGAAATCCGGATTTAGTGAGGCGATTCTGTCGGATATAAGTGCCCAGAGAGTCGTAAGATCGTTTATATACTAGCCGTTATTCGTAGACTTAACTTTTATATAGGCGGCAGTTATCGCGCGGAACACTACGCCGCTGCAGTAAATTTTGAACAAACGCCGTGACTCAGGGAGCTTTTAAAGCTCACGGGAAAGTATCGTTCCGACGAATCCTGTCGATGGCGGTAAAGCGCGGACACGAACCAAGTTGTCGCTGTAGTTGAAATGAAACGTCGGATAATACGATAGATTCGTTTCATTTGTCAATCCCGACAAATTCAGAGTCCCCCAAGAGAGAGCGGCTTAAATATATATAAGTCTTAATTTACATACACAAACACACAGACACACAACGCTTCTTACAATTACTTTGCTGTTTCACTGACATCGCAGATGTCTCATATGCGACTTTCTTCCTCCCCTTCATCCTCTCACTCGCTCGACGCTCGGCGCTCGACAAAGAGTTCGAAGTTAACAACACTTGTCCATCTTAGAGAAACGATAAAAGCGAGTACAGTCGAAGTCTCGGAGTGGAACTCAATGGACCAATATTTTAGAATTCCACTGATATTCCTTACGTTACATTCCGCATGAAAAGTGCCCTTTTGTCGAAACGTCGCCGATCTGATATCCCTGCCTGTCCACAAGTGCTCGGCGTCTGCCAATAATCTCAATCTCGCCGCATACACGAGCGCACGCTAACACAGCCATTTTATTGCCTGCCTACGTACGCCAATGACGAGCGTTTACGATCAACTTACGGATCTTGTTCCCATGCCACGTGTGAACCAAGTACGCTTCCACGTGCTACTAGAATATACGTAAAAATCGCACACAGTTCAGCTTACATAACGCCGCTTTGGTCTTTTCAAAAGTGTCTGCGTTTGGTTTTTCTTTCTTTTTTTTTTACTAGTGAGCTATTGTCCAGGTTGTCTGGACGGTTGGAAAACTGTCACTTCGCTCTCACTGTCACGAACTCACTAAACTGGATGAACCGCGGGCGGCGATCGTACGTCGTGTCGGCGATCTCTCGGGGCTGATGTCTAATGTCAACTACAGCTGGTTGAAGGGGACCAAATGCGTCAATTGGCGATATATTTGACCCGTGTTCAACCAGCTAAGCTTAACATTACATGGGGCTCGCTTGCGTCCATCTTCTCTCTTGCTGGTTCGCGTCGGCTCGCGTAGCTTCCTCAAGCGAGTCGCGGAATCCGGCGCGACCTCGCGTTTACCCTCGCTCCCTCGCTCTGTGCGCTCTACGTGCCCGTCCGTCCGTGAATGTCGAACGCAGAATCGTCGGCGCCTCTGATTCTGCTCGTGACATTTTGTGCCTCCCGATCCGTAATAGCCGATAGCGCGGCGCGCCGCGTTACATTGTGGCTAATTGCTGACCTTTACTTTCGGACTTTACCCGACATCGCGGCAGACCGTCGGCGTTTGGGATCGACAGGCGGGCCCGGCGGTCGATCGAAGAGGGAAGGAGCGTATCGAACGACCGCACTTGAAGAAGTATCGTTTCGTTATATTTTTGTTGTTCGCAATTTCTTGGGGCCGGGCGAAACCGTACGTCGGTGGTCGAGGCGAAGAATGAGATCCGAAGGAAACCGACACCTCGGGAAGTTGCACAGGTATCAATGACGACGAGTTAAAGAGCCGATGCTACTCGAAACCGATCGACAGAGACAATGGCATTATCGTACACATTCGTCGCGGAAAGCAGAGGCCAGGATCGTGTCTTTAAGCCGCGCCGGTGCCTTCCGGGCGGCCATTAAGGGTGTCATTGTGCGCGGCGACAGAACGAGGGGAGGTTATTGGCAGGAAGAGGGACATTAAGACGGCAACAATGGACCCCGACTCGAGCCACCGAGCCCATCCTCACCGTCGTTCTACGTCTTCCGTCCTGCCGAGTGCGGCCATTTCTGGAATCCGCCCGATACCAGGTCAAGCGAGCTCGGCAGAATCTCGCGTGAGGAATCAGTCTTTGGAATTTCGCGAAAATCTCTCTCGACTTTTTCCCGAATATCCAAGATGGAGACGTTCGTGCTCGGGAAAGAGAGAGAGAGGGGACCATCTCGTCCGCGACGGAATGGATTCCTAGCGCCGACGATCGCGCCGTTATTGCGTCGAGGAGGAATCGAGGGAATGACGCGTGCGCGCGCGTGCGAATAACTATTCTAGGCCCGGCATGATGCGCGAGTAACACGAGACGTGTGCGTTTAAATATATCTCGCGACCATGCACGAACTCTTGTCGCTGGTCCGCTCGTCCGTGGCCGTCGCCGCGTTTCATCGGGAGCAACGAATTCCCGAGGGCCGACTTCTACGGCAGGTACCGTGCACCTCGCGGAAAACGAAATCGTCGGCGAACGGAGCGGAGCCGAGAACAGAGGGTGAGGCGCGAGGAGGAGAGGATTCTGCGCGATCCCCGTGAACGGGAGGAGAGTCGAGGGTCTCGATAAAACGTCTCCGCTCGACCAACGTCAAATATGGCAATGCGATACGCCTCGCGAGCGAGGCCATTCATCTCGAGCTCATACCTTGATGCCGATTCCCCCCGGGGGACTCGCCGAGGACCGCCCTGGACTCTGCCCTGAATCGGTTTCCGACGCGGAGAAAGAGAGAGAGAAAGAGCGAGAGAGAGAGAGAGAGAGTTTCTCACTCGGGACGGGCACTACACACCATGTATACGAAGCTTCGCGGCTCCTCTTCTTCCGCGCGAAACTCCCGCGACACTATTTACAACCAGGCAATATCCACCATTCACAGTCGATCGTCGTATCGTCGCCGAATCGTTGAACGTAGCACTGCACCATTTCGCGATTACGCGACGCCGGCGCCGAGTGTCGTCGTCGCGACGCGAATATTTCAGACGCTCGCGCAATTCTCTCGCGGACGTCCCGTTTTCGCGTATTTTTAGAAAAATTATGCAACGACGCGCGACGGTTTTACGCCAGGGCACACCTGGGCCTCGTGCATACTTCACTCCACGGTATCGGGTAAGATCGGCCTCTCCTTGGATTCATAGTTCGATAGGGTAGCAAAGAATGTCGATAACAGCAAGGTCGTTGGTCATCGCGTAGGAACTTTGCGCGACGATATTTCTCCGCGTCTACTTGATGGCTATCGTCGTTCTTGGAGAGACCAGCGGGTGGACCGAGGCGACAAATGGAAAAGTCGCCTTGGCGAGTCACGGGAGACGAGATATTAGACGGTTCCCAGTTTTCGTTGGACGGTTCTGCCGCACTCTGCTTCGTTCGCCTCGTTCGCTCGGTCGATGATATTTTCGTCGACGACGGCGAATCGCGACTACTGCGGGTATTATGTGTGCGCGGATATGCGTGAGTTGTGTGCGAGCAGAAAGGGAAGAGAGAGAGAGAGAGAGAGAGAGAGAGAGATAGATAGACGAAGGAGGGGCGACGACGGAATATCTGCCGGCCTATATCCGGAGCGAGTCTTCTCATAAGATCACTTTTTTTTCTGCCGTAGCGCAGTTCTCGCGGCGTTCAGTGTCGAAATTCGCACGTACTCGTGGCAACGATCAGCGTGTCTTGCTGTAATCGGCCGATTCGAATCTCGAACACGTTGCCCAAAAGGGATTGGCGAATCCCGCGGTGCAGGAACTTCAATTACGCTAACGATCGGGACCGGGCCGAACTCGCGAATTAACGGAAGTCGGCTGGCGCGACGTTAATATTCTAGATATTCGATACGCCAAACTGACAAACTCTCAAGCGAAAAGGCTCATATACAGCGAATTCTCATGCAATATTCCGCAGCGGAATATGCATACGCGGGTAAATGTCGATAGGTAACGGGCTCGATATCGAGTACCGTATTTTAAGTTCCATTCAACTTTTAGCCCGTCGTCAGTCCGCTTTTACCGTTTCACTTTTATCCAGTTTCGATTTTCTTGCCTCGTGTCCCGACGATAATCGAGTCTGATATCGTCCCGTAGTCGAGTCGTCCCGCTCGGTGGCGACCGGCGAGGGGCGAGACGGTATGAACGGCACCTCAAGGCCCGACTTGCCCGCGGAGAGATCGGACGGGATTTCTATTTGGATGACACGACGTTATACCGCGGGCGATAGGAGCGCGCAAAAATAAGCGATCTAAAGTTAGACGCGGTCTTAGGACGTTGCGCTAATTCCAACGCTCGTCCATCACCTTCGAGTCTCAGGATACGGCGTCGGGTCATCTCTCGCGAGTAACCTCTGCCTTTCGGAAAATATTGCAACGCGATATCGCGCGGAACGATGTCAAGAGCAAGGCGATTATTTTACTTGCAACTGAGAGCCCGCTTGTGTAAAAATAAAATCGGGGATATATATCTCCCGAGGGATTCCTCAATAAGTAACGAGGGAACGATCGAAAACAATAATGAATTTTTAACGCCTCTCAGCCGAGAGCAGCCTTGGCGCAGTCCGCGTTGAATATCGAAGAAACGCGACGGTCAAAGTTGAATTGAAGGATTTATCTCGGCTCTCTTAATTTTTGCTCTAACAAGAAAACTTCGGGCTGCTAACGAAGTTGAGTTTTCAAATTAGACTCGCAGTAAAGCAAGCCGTTTGAGATTAATAATTCAGGGGCGCCTGCTCGGGTGTAAAAGCGGACGGTGACGAGGCGAGCACAGCCGGATGAGTAATTTTGTTTACGCTCGGAATGCTATGCGGTCACGATTCATCGAGTTCGGTTAGGCGGATGATCCTATCGATGAAATTCAACGGAAGATATCACTGCTTGTCATTCTGTCCGGCTTCGTCTCGCAAATCCAGCACTGACTGTCGAAAGAGAAGCGCATTCCCTCTGAATGCGAGGACCAAGGACTGAGAGAAAGTATTTTGAGGACGTTTCCGACTGCGAACAATAGGCATCGCGAGCTCCGATAGGTTCCTGCGCACAGATACAAAGCCCGAGATAGAGTTTGAACAAGAACTTCCGTCGCTGTTAACTTCGACACGGTTTCGAACTTCCGATCGTAGGGCCAATATCCAACGAGCGCAGGCTCTTTGAGCGTCGGAAATAGTTTGCGACGCTTTTTAACCTTGACTCGAGCTGCTTGCAACGAAACGCGTGGGCGTCACGCTTGGAGGAAGCGGTTCGACGCGCTCGCAGTTCAGATTGCGTGATTCGAGATTTTATTGCGAGGAGAGACGGAGGAGGCGCATCTCGTCGGCATCCGTCGGACATCGTGCGAGCATCCGCGTGTCTTAAAGTCGACGTGCCCTCGAAGGCCAGCCGATATCTCTTCGACACGCTGCTATTATTAGACCGACAATGGACAGGCTTCGGTCCCCGTGCCCAACTAGTCTTCACGCCGCGAGTCCGTGCTATTCCTGTCAATTCGCCACTGACCGCATCCACGAAAAGACGCGCCTCTCGCCGACAATTCCGAGATAACGTTCGTTATCGAACGATCGAAGCGAACGCGGCTCGTAACGATCGCGCCCCTTTAAGGGACGCCTCAAAACCCGCCGGAACACGGCAATCTTCGATTGTTTCACGTTTTCCGCTTACGTCAGTTCTACGTCGTTCTCGCGCGTCTCTCTGGAGAGCCGCGACGTTATCAGTTGCGCGTAAACAAACGGATGCTGTTCTTGAGGCGCGCCGACAAGACAATTACGAATATTTCGGCCGAAAGTAATCGCGATCTTTGTTCGAGACACACGCGTCGTTTCGTAAAGCGCACAGTCTACGGCGGTAAACGGCCTGGGCCTGTTCGTGATGGCGTGTCTATTGGCGTCCGACCACACGCTACTGTCCTCCCTTGCGGCACGTCTGACTCGACGGTACCGTCTCTCCTTGCGCCGTATGCTCAGCGGCCGTATCCAGCGACGTTTCTACCGTCGCGTGACATTTCTACTGCGGCGCGCGGTGACCGCGTCACGTATGACCACGCGCCGAGTAGTGGCCGTGACTACTGGCCGTAGCGGTCTACCGGGGAGGCGCGTCCCTTCGGCCTCGTCCCTGTCGAGGGCTCGTCGTGGACGTCGGCTTCCACGCTGACTACGTCTCCTCGCAGCCGCACTCTGCCGCAGCTGCGGCACCGCTCGGAGGAACCGTAGGATGCGTATGCGTGAGTATGAATGTGTGTGTGTGTGTGTGCGTGTGTGTGTGCACGGGGGACAAATATGGGAAAAAGAAAAAAGGGTCCTGGAGAGAAACAGGAAGAGACCGCGTCGGAGTAAGGCAGATACGAGGAGAGACGAAGAGAAAGAGAACATGGGAAGTGGAGAAAGAAAGAGAGAGAAAGAGAGAGAGAGAGAAAGAGAAGGAGGAAGAGAAAGAGAGGAAGAGGAAGAGAGAGAGAAAGAGAGAGAGCGACGGTAGCGAGATCCGACGGTCCGATCAGAACGTGAACGTACTACTTGGTGGGCGTCCGGGCCCGCACTGTGCAGCCGACGGCAGGCGTCGCGACGCTTCCCCGCCCGAACATGCGAGCTCCGTGCTACACGGGGGGTAGGGGGCGAGAGGGTAGTAAAAAGGAGGGAGGGAGACGCCGGCGCCCCGCACGCCTGCGTACCAGCGTACCACGACCCTTCGTGGCAGGAACGCACCAACCCTGTCCTATCCACCCGAATACCCACCCATTCCACGCGCGCACACACTCGCGCACACGTACACACGGACGCGCACCACCGCTTTCGCCCGCTCACCCTCGGCCCAGCCCCGCCGCACCGCTCCAGCCACCCACCCCCCGGCGTGCTCAAGCAAACCGACCACCCACACACACCCGGCTCTCACCCTACCGCTCCCCTCCATCGTCCCACGCCCGTCACTATGGAAAATATGAATTTGGGTCAGATACCAGCCGCCGTGCCCTAATGAACCTTTAATGTGACCCATTTCTTCCTTTCCTCCGCACGCCGACGTGAAACAACTCTCTCCCTCCCTCCCGCGCACCCGTCGCTTCCCCGCCCTCTTCTTCTTTCGTTCTTCATACCTGCGTGCGTCTCGTCCGTTATGGCGCACGCACGTTTCGAACTTTCTTCCCAGATCGTCCTCTCTTTCCCTCGCTCGCTCTCTCTCTCTCTCTCTCTCTTTCTCTCTCTGTCTCTCGCGTGCCACTCCTATCCTCTCTTTTCCGCAGCCGAGCGAAGGACGGTCCTAAGGGTCGTCGTCACGGCCGAGTTTGTTGGCACGATTGCACCGCGTCTGGCTATTACGATGCTGAGCGACACCTACCGCCCTTTGCGCGGATATTAGAGCCCTTGGCAATTGTTCTTCTTGTGCTTCAGTTATACATACAACTTGCATCACGCTTGCATTCGTTTCGCATTCTTGCGTAACCACCTTCGAGAGCTTTAATCCTTACGCGCGAATGGCTCGTGCTGCATGTGTCAGATGGCGGAAATAGAAATACTATGACGTTGTATTTACAGTATCATTGCGTAATGCAGCTCTCTATATTACGAGAGTGCAAAAAAACGTGCTGTGTAATGGTACGATAAAGGTTAAAATTTATTCCACGTTGTTAATTGCGGGACACGAGCGCGAATAACGACGATCGCTTTCAACGATGTCTATAATTAAATATCGCATGACCACCGGCACCGATACTAATATTGCTGCATTATTCTCGGTTGTAATATTTCTGAGCTTATTCGCTCGTGCTTCGCATTCCAGCGCATCGATCGTCTCACGCGATTTAGCCTGATAATCGAATGCGAAAAAAATTCATCTCGAGTTCCTTTCACATTAACGCGTGACTGAATAATTTTCTTTGTAAATATTTTTTTCTTTGAACTCGCAGACAGATTTAATATCGCCAGTAGTTTAAAACCACTGATATGTCGTTTTTTAAAACGACCTACACTGGTCAATGTTTTTATTTAAAAAAACGACGCTTCGGTCCCAGATTTAGACTCTTTTCAAGTGATCTGTTCGCACAATTGTTAATAATCTCATATCGTTCGTTTGGCCAATATCGTTATTGATCATTGAGGTAATGAGGTTGTGAGATTATTAACAATTGTGTGAACAATTGTGTGAACAGACAAACGAAACGTCGTTTTTTTTTTAAATAAAAACATTGCACAGTGTAGGTCGTTTTAAAAACTACATATAATTATTTTTTACTTTAATGTATTAAATTAAATAAAAAAAAATATGAAGGTAGTGTTGGATTCTAAAAATATATAAATGATATAGATAAATTTGAAAGAGCGTTATCCCGCAATTAGCAAAAGCAATGTCTCGAAGTGTACTTATACTTGTTAGATTGGCAATGCTTTGCGATCGATAGAAATTGCTTTGATGCGACACAAGTTATGACATTGCGCAACGACGGCATTTTACTGGAATGGAAAAGTTGTTCGTTTTAATGCCGCTCGATGGTACGCGGCCTTTAAGATTAGCTTTATTTTTTCAGAAGTAAGTAATCTGGACTGTGAAAACATGCGATCGCCGCGTTAAGAGATTTAAAGCCATGGACCGTGCGTGCGCGCGATCGCCGTAAAGGGGCAACCTGTACGTTCAAGGATCGTATTTCTCGAGCATTAAGTTCGGCTTTTAAGGTCGGGCGAAATGAGTCGCGTGTGAACATTTATCCTGGGGTTACATTCCGCGAACTGTTTTCTGTTTACGTAATTTTTTTTCATTTCTACATTTCCTTAATTGCATATCGCATACGGCAACAAGATATTTTCGAGGGAAAATATTCTATTCTGTACTTAAGAGCGAATAGAACATTATTCTTGCAATTACTTTAAGTAGATTTCAATTGAAACTAAACTACGGCAATTTCTTTAAACGGTTCCTGTACACGTTTGTGACCGGCTAAAAGCCGTTTTCGCAGAGCAAACTTCCGATCCGCAATTATGTTACTTGTATTCCTTTTTTTTTATAAATCGCTTTCTCACTTTGCTACAAAGTGATTACTAGCGCATATTTATCAGATACTTTTCGCTTCCCTTTAAATGTATAAACTGCTCTTCTATTTATAGCAAGTAATTAGGAGCGTGTACATCGACAACGCCCTGTTATCGATAACGTTGACCGATTAGAATTGCATTTTCAACGCGTTTGCAGTGGCCTGTTGTATCGAATTAAAATCTGATGTAAATCACTTATAATTATGGTGCGTCGCGTGTATATTACACGACGCGAGAGTTGCTCGGCACGCTATGTTCGTTAAATATGGCTGATATGTAGGGACGAAAAGAAGTAGATGTCACGGTCGCATTTCGCGATAAAGGCTCTGCGATCGGAATTGTCAAGACGATCGATTAGTTGACGCGCTTTGCGGCAATTAAATAAGCGAACCCCGTGGCGACACGTATTCGCCCTCTTTCCTTGGACATTTCTCGTAGTCGATGAATGAAAGCGCATCAGTGAATGGAACATGGGGTGAGCATCGCGTGACTGTCGATCCACACATATATACACAAAACGCGCGCGCGCGCGCACGTATACACGCGGTTTCTTCTCGAGGAAAATGAATGCGGAAGATGATTCACGACGATTTGATTTTCGAACAGACCCTTACGTAACGAGATGCAAATTTCGACCGTTCAGTTATAAATGTGTAAAGGACTACGGTTGTTAAAGATTCAGGAGGAATTAAAACAATTATGCACATGTGTGCGCGGTGAAGTAACAAAAATAACGATACTAGTCTCTTTAAGAACAAAGTCGCATTTAGCCTGAACTTCATAAATTGCCGACTTATCGTATTCATTTATTTACGAACGTGTACACGCACCGGCATAAATGCTGTCCCTATCCTTGTGAGGTGCACGCACACAACTACAGGGACTCTAGTTGTGTGCGTGCACCTCACAAGGATAGGGACAGCATTTATGCCGGTGCGTGTACAAGAGTCAGGCGGATATTGCATTCTCATTTGCCGCGACTAGAATTATTCGAGACAAATAAGAAAGGCAGAAGACAGCCTAGACGTGGTGCAGCGGAAAACAATGGCCCTTAACGAGTCCGTAAATAATTGATTTGGAAAAGTTACAGAAACAATACCGACATCCCCGAGCTAATGCAGCGTACAGTATACCTTCCGTCCGAATCTATTTTCCTATCTGTCTCTCTGTCTCGTTCTCTTTTCTCTCTCCCCCCCCCCTCTCTCTCTCTCTCTCTCTCTCTTTCGACCCCTTTTTCCTCTCTTCAAAGCGGGTTATAAAATCCATTATCGCCGCGATAAATATTAAACTTCTCTTTTCGCTTTCGTTTCTCCGCGTGAAATTGCTCTGCGCCGTTAATGGCCTTGTTATCGATTCGCATCGTCAAAGAAAACACCTTTTGCGAGGGTGAGCCATGAGACGCGATAGCGCGCCCCGCAAATAATCCGTCTTCCGTCGAATTTGTGCCACGCGCGTTCTCATTAATTTCTCACGTCTCGGGCGACGGAGAGACCCTTCGGATTCGCGTTAAGACGCTACGATCCGAGTCGAATTTCCGAGCGCGAGACAAAAAAAGGAACATTTGAGATAAGGTGTAGCAATCGCGACTCCCGTAATAGCGCGTATAAAACATAACGCCGAGCTCGATATCTTTCTGTCCTCGCAAAAACCGTGTACGGAGATCCTGGTGAAAAGAAAAGTACATTGAAACAGATTCGAAATTAAGTATTCTATAAAAGCATAGGATATTCTATAAAGAACATTTTGCCTTTGCGGTAAAGAAGGTTACTATTTGTCGCAACAATGAATGGAAATAAACGCGACAGGCTTCATTTGGTTGACGCGAAACGACAGTGTCGCTATCAAAGGGACAAAATTAAATGGAACGTCTCAAAGACGGCCCGTCGAACATCTGCCCTCGCGAGAAGCGTAATATCGCGCTCTCGTATCTCGAGCACCCCGTAATCCCCACATCGGATCGCGAGAAATTGCGTTCTTTTCGGCGACAATTTCTTCGTCGCTGCGCTTCCCGACTGCGGACTCTCTCGACTCCTCGGCGAGAGGGCGGGGAAAAAAGGGAGGCTACAACTCGCCGTTACAGGGTTAATCGTCGTCCCGTCCTTAATCACTGCGCTCGATGGCACGGATATTGTTTGACAATTTGTCATCCGCACTCGACGTTTATTGCGCTCCCGCGCACATTTATTACATCGGCGCAGTCCGATCTTGCGGCGGGTAATTATGAGTGCCGCTATCACTGTCCGTGCAGTATACATCCATTCATTCCGTTCGCGGCGCAATGTAAAAGCTCGCGCGGCGCGGCATGAAATATGCATCGGTCTCCATTGATAATTATGCAACCTGATAACGCGCG